GAATGTGAGTCTGGTGCCCTAACCATCTGGCCATGCCGGCCGACACGATGGACAGAATGAATAGTTTCAGACTTTTTGCAGCTCATCTTCCTGAGATTTTGGATGCAATATCATGAATTCTTCAAGCCAAACTTTCGTCTGAAACAAAAAGTGAAGTCAAATTTATAACTGACTATGAGCAGTCATTTTCTTGCACTTTGGCAGCTGTAATTTGGTTAAAGATACTTGTGATCGTCGATCAGCACAATGAAGTACTGCAGGCCTGCAAGCTACCATTGATATTGAAGTGAGTAACAATAAAAGTCTGTTGACTGATTTGAAAACACTGCGTGAACGCTGGAACTCAATTCTTAATGAAACTAAATTGGTTACATATATTATGAATCTTACGCCACAACTGCCTGCAGAACGGAAAACAGTTCCCAAGTACTTTCACGATGAAAATATAGATTAACTCTTGCCTAACTGTGAAGTAAATGAACCTATAGAGGAGAAAAAATTCAGACAAAATATATTTTGTAAAATCGGATATTCTGTTACTGCTGGGCTAATTAGAAGATATATAGCAGCCATGGATATAAATCAGACCTTTTATCTTTTGTAGCAATATTTATATATATCAGAGAATTATCTACAATCAAAAACTGAGGAGTTGTTGCCAAGTGTAAATCTGACGTGTCAGAAGATTTATTGAAAGAAATGAAACATCAAAAGGCCAAACTACACAAATTCAAGCTACACCCACTTTTCCTATATGTTTCTGTAGCCCTTCACATTTTGTACCCAATTCCAGTCACAGTTGCAGAAGGGGAGAGATCTTTTGTGTGCGTTCCACCACTGCCCAAACCCAACCGACAGATCTGGGTACTCTTGCAATTGAAAAGCAGATAACCCGTACTTTGGATATCCAACTGTGAAATCTAAAACAAAAACACAGTAGATTAGTAGGATACATATGCTGTGGTGAATCTAACAAGATTGTATGTAAAAGTGCATGCTTTCAATCCAATATTGGATACATTATCCTATTAATTAAGGAATAACAAATTTCAGCTCGTTGACAGTCAGAATGTACATGCATATCCGAGTCCGGAGGAGGGGGCCACATATAACAGTCCTTCCCCAGGGCCATATATATATATATATGCATATATAGGCACAAACATCCTTTTCAGTACAAGAAAGAATAATTGAGACCTCAGACTTCCCAAGTTCTGTGAAAGAATTAGAGCGATAAAGTTCATTTCTTGTATGCTTGTCTGGAAAGGTTACTTACGTATTTAGACGGAAAAAATCGTTTAAATAGTGAAATTTTGATTCACTCGATAAACAGGTATTTAGGCGGCCTTATAAGTACAATAAGCTTTAAGATTGCTCAGTCAATACTGTGAAATAGTCATTGTAAATATTCAGACATTTTAAAGGTGTTTTAAACGGGCGTTTTTATGGCTGTTTCTTTTTTTAATGCTTGAAACTGAGTTTGTTCATCAGAAGCACAGAAGGGAATAGCAAATTGAACAGAATCTCATTCATATTGAGTATGACTGAATACATGCAAGTTGTAATTACAGAAAGACGCATGTTTAGAAATTTTTTGTATACGATGACTGGTTGTTGAAACAATATAGAGCACAAAGGACATATACATAAAGGAAGTATATTTGTAGATAACTAATGATTTTTGTTATTTTTGGACTTTGCCTTTAAGTTGAAAAAATCCCTTGAACATAAAAGGAAGAAAATTTGAATACAAAAAGAACTTCTCCGAGTTGAACACTTTGAAAACCTGAGATCTTAAGAAGAAATATTCATCACCTAGATAAGGAAGTGTAAGAGTGATAGAGAGCTTATCAATTATAGGAAGCAGATCAGATTAATATTCTTTTGTGTGCTTTCAGTGAACAAACTTGAATTCAAGAATCTCTAGCCATTATGGCCTAAAAACCATAACTGAACCTAATACAGTCTCCCTAATCTTCTCAGATTTTATAAGTAGTTAATCTCTTTATTTCTTGGCTTTTTAATGCTTTCTTTAGCATTAAACAATGGTTATAGCAAAAACAGTTTATATAATGTAATTCAGTGTTATACTTATAAAGATCAGCTGATCACAAGAATTTACCATTTATGAGATATAAATAATAGGTATAAAAAATATGTGTATAAAATTGCCTGCTATTGGTGAAGAACGATAACCTGAGTATCAAATATTTAGACAAGATCACCTTTTTACTTGAAATAAAATTGCATTTCCAGAAATTTTGATCATTTTATCACAGAAAAGATTGCAGTACGTGAAGGATGCTAATCACTTGGCTGTACTCAATCCTGAGTGTTCTGATTTAGAAAACTTTATTTATACTTATTATGAAAAGATATAAACATACAGACAACCATGCTACACATTTTTGTATAAATGGATAAATGAATTTTGAAACAGTTAACATATAGTTTCATCTATATCCATGTTGATGATAAGCAAATTGTGTGTAGAGATGTTTAGCTGTAGTTACAAAAATATAGGTAGTGAGGTGTTCTTAGTTAAGTGTAGAAACCATAATAAAGGCAAACAAATAGTCACTCAACAAAGTCACTTTATAAAAGAGTATATTCCCATAGTGGACAAGAGAAGCATTTTACAAAAAATATTATGCCTTTAAGAAGTTACCTAAACTCATCTAAGCACTTTTTTTCATATTTTTACAGAGTTCAAATGATCATAAATCACACCTTCTCAGTGGCTCACTATTAAGTCTTAAAGGATTATAATGCTAAACTGGATTTCAATACCTGTGGTGGGCAGAACATATATACCTCATTGTTTAGCTTTGTTCTTACAACAGAAAAGGAAACAAAACCTTCAAGCAGAATTCACATAATATGACAAACAACAATGATGATTCAACACATACTAATTGTTATAGGTTTTAGTTCTCTTATGTACTGATTTATGACCAACTCCTTCTATATTGTGCGGGTTAGGCTTACTTATCTATCAGCTACTTTTTAGTTCTGATTTACATAATTCAGATAACTTTATCTTAATGGGATTGTTTTCAAGTCACAAAACTTACCCCTTATATAAATAATTCAATTGTGGTTAAGCTCAGATGAAAGTATCATGCTTTATTTAGCAGTGATTATGTATATCAAACATAATTTAGTGATTGATATATTATTACACAATTTTAGAGAGTGAGATATGATTGTAACTCTTCTAATGTTTCCATGGCTTTAAAGTGTGGATCATGTTTTTTTTTGTGATGTGCAAATTATGGAAATTGAATCCACAGTTCAGTATGCTAACCACTTGGCAGGACTAGTTTTATAATAATTCCTATTTATGTATATAGTGTCATAATAGGTATGCTGGAAAAAGTAACCTTTAAACTAAGGAAAGAAATCAACTATACTTTGTTGAGAAAAGTGACTATAATTAGAAATACTTTGTGATTTTCTACCAATTTGTAAAGGTCTAAAATCTGAATCCATTTTAGGCATAAATAAACCCTTTCATACAAAATAATTTACTAAATTCAGAGGTATCATAAACACTGTGTAAAATTATTAGAAATGGCTAAAATTGGGTAGAAATAAATGATAAATACCACTGACAGCACAGTTTCAATTCTGTAACTGAAAGATCATGTAGAAAAAAAAAAGTGTTTACTATTTTCTTTTTATCCCTATACCATTTAAGCTATTTCTAATAATTTATTCTTTACATTATATACATAAAACTAATAGCATTTTAAAAGAATAACTTGTATATGCTAATGCACTTGCATGCCATTACAGCTGTGAATTGGGTGGAATGTGTAGCATATATTAGGTTGTTAAGAAATTAATGTTGCATTTTGGAACACTTTCATTAACCACCCCCAGAAAAACGTACATCACGTATAATAGTTAAATGAACTGCCTAAACGTAAAGTTTGTGTAGCTTATATAATGTGTAAAGTTTAG